CTCTCCCTAAAGCCCCCCCCCCCAGGCTCCACCCCCCTCCCCAATATCCAGGTATTTCCCAACTGGGAGTTGGCAACGCAACTTTTCTGGAAGGTATTTCCTCTGCCAGAGCTGAGCAGAGTTGAAATGTGGTACTCAGGGTCAACCAGGGGTATTTTTGGGCAGGAACACACAGGAACGGAGTTCTGGCTGGCTCCCGAGTTGGCCACGCCCAGCAGGAACTCATTAGCATAATAGGCCACACCCAATAACAGAAACTCATTAGGATTGACTACATTAGGGGTGTGTGGCCTATCATGCAAAGGAGTTCCTGCTACAAAAAAAGCCCTGGAACAAACAAGGTAAACTTCATAAGAAGGGAAAGGTGGGTGTGGCTGGATGACCACACTTCTGGTAACATGGGGGTAACATGGGCCTAATGTGCTAATGAGCGGTGCTGTCAGGGGTGTGGCCTAATATGCTAATGAGTTTTTGCTGTTGGGTGTGGCCTATTATGCTAATGAGTTCCTGCTGGGCTTTTTCTACAAAAAGAGCCCTGGCAACCCTGGTATAATGCCCATTGATTCAGATTCCCTTCCAAGCCCATGTTACTTCCTTGTTTTTTCTTTTGTGTCTCCAGGATATGGGCACGCCGCCCCCGGGACCAACGCCGGGAAGGCCTTCTGCATGTGCTACGCCGCCTTGGGCATCCCTTTGACGCTGGTGATGTTCCAGAGCCTGGGTGAACGCATGAACACCTTTGTCAAGTATCTCTTGCAGCGGATGAAGAAGTGCTGCCGGATGAGGAGCACGGACGTCTCCATGGAGAACATGGTGGCCGTCGGGTTCTTCTCCTGCATTGGGACCCTTTGCATAGGGGCGGCAGCCTTTTCCCAATGCGAGGAGTGGAGTTTTTTCCAGGCCTTCTATTACTGCTTCATCACATTGACTACCATCGGGTTTGGGGATTACGTGGCCCTTCAGTCGAAAGGGGCCCTCCAGAAGAAGCCGCTGTACGTGGCGTTTAGCTTTATGTACATCCTGGTGGGGTTGACAGTCATCGGGGCCTTTCTCAATCTGGTTGTTCTCAGGTTGTTCATGAACATCGAGGAAGAGCGCCGGGAGGCTGAGGAGCGTGCGTCCCTGGCCGGGAACCACAACAGCATGGTCATCCACATCCAAGAGGATTCCCAGCATGGCCGGCCACAGTACAAAGCGGAGGTGACCGACCTCCAGTCCGACTGTTCTTGCATGTGCTACCGGTCCCACGAATACACCAGCCGGGTGGTGTCCCACCAAAACTCCTTCAGCTCCAAGCTGAACCTTCAGTACTTTCATTCGATCTCCTACAAGATCGAGGAGATCTCGCCAAGCACATTAAAAAACAGCCTCTTCCCGTCTCCCGTAAGCTCCATCTCTCCCGGATTGCACAGCTTTACAGACAGCCGGAGGCTCATGAGACGGCGGAAGTCCATTTGAGAAATCACCCGTCTTGGCGGGGGTTTTCGGTCCTTTTTATCCTTAAGGTTGTTTTTAAAGAAACCCCTTGAGCGAGCCAGAGTGAGGATAACAAGGATAAAAGATAATGGGGTAAAAAAAGGACATCTCTCCTCTGAGACTCAGCTCTGGAGCATGAAGCATGGATGAACCCTATCTCCAGCAACGTATGCCTTACATTTATCCCCCCCTCGGTAGTCAGTAGATTCGAGGTGACGGGAAGTGGGTATCCAAATTCCAAAGTTGCACACACGGTTGGGAGCCTTCATGTGCCGCATGGCACTTCTTCCTAACAAACTCTGTCCCCCACCCCCAACCCCCACAAGCAGGTCGCTGTGTGTGTGAGCACGGGTGTGTATGTGTGGGTGGAGCGTGTGGGTATGGGTGCGCACGCACAATGCCACAACCAGTGCCATGTGACTGGCGAGAGTCTCGATTGGAGCTATCGGGTGTCGGGTTTAATTTCCGTTTCTTTTTCTTCCGCCCATTTTTTTTCGGTCCGCTTTTTGGCTTCCAAAAGAAGGGGGAAATGGGGGAAGGGGGGGAGAGCTGCAATTCTTATTCTTATTCTTATTATTTGGTTTGCTGAATCAAGCATGCGCCATAAACAATCAATATACCGAGTGTATCATGATAATTTTTTTAATGCTAGATTTTATTAGATTGTATTAACATTAATGGGAAAAAAGAGAGGAACGAGGCAGGAAAGAAAGACTGCTTTTGCTTGCCAGGTCGAATCCTTTTAAAAAAAATAAATTAAAAATACCGCATGCATTTTGTAAAAACTGGTATGCATTTTGAAAACTCACAAGAGGAAAACGAGAAACCTAGCAATGGAACTGCTACAGGGGAAAAAATAACATGGGTTTTTAAAAACACAATTGCTTTAACCCTTTCTTACTGTTTCAACAATTTGCCACAATCATAAAGATTTTTAGGGGGGCGGGCAATGGTTGCAATTAAAGAGTGTCTATTTTATTATTTCTTGGCTACAAGTTCTTACGACGTTGGGTTCTATTTTATTTTTGTTTATGAGAGCGTGAGTGGAAGCGTGCGTATGTATGAGTATGCAGCAACTACCTGCATGGACAGTAGGGTTGCCAGCCTCCAGGTGGGGCCTGGAGATCTCCCAGCATTCTGACTGATCTCTAGGCTACAGAGGTCAGTTCCGTTGGAAAAAATGGCTGCCAGTTCCCAACCTTTTTGACCTTGGGGGCACCTTTGCAATTCTGAGGTAGTGTGGTGGGTGCGGCCACAAAATGGCTGCCACAAAATGGCTGTTGTCGGAGTTGGGGCCAGCAACAAAATAGCTGCCCCAGCTTACTTGTAGTCTCCCGGTGAGATCCTTGTCCTGTGGTTGCAGCTGCCGCTAAAGCAAAAAAAAAAAATCGGCACAGCCAGCCTAATCTCCAGTAGCCAATCAGAAGCCTTACTGACAAAAGCTCCACATGGCCCCACCCACTTTATAAAAACCCTTTGTGGGCATCAGAAAAGGTGTTGGCAGGTGCTGTGGTGCCCATGGGCTAGGGTTGCCAAGTCTACTTACCTGGCTGGCGGGGGGTGGGAGGGATACTTCCAGGAGTGGGGAGGGTGGGGCGACATTACTGTGTGTGATGTCATTGGCATGATGACACCATGCAGGAGTGATGTCATCATGCTGGGCATGGGAGGGATAAACACTCTAGCATTTTGGTCAAAACTCTATGGTTACCATAGAGTTTTGGTCAAAACACTAGAGTGTCACCACACGATGTGTGCAGTGTGATGATGTCATTTCTGCATGACATCATCACATCGACATGTGGGGGTCTGTGTGGGGGCAGGGCTTACCCTGCTGGCCAGCTGGCAACCAGCAAATTGAAGACCCCGAAATTAGGGGAATCCCCACACCAACTGGGGGTCTGGCAACCCTACCATGGGCACCATGTTGAGGATCCCTGCTCTAGAGCCTTGTACCATGCTGAGGTCTCTCCCATCCCCAAACCCCAGCTCCCTAGGTTCCATCTCCCGATTTTCCAGGAAGTTCCCAACCTGGAGATGGCAACTTTAATGAACAGGAATCTAAAGAGGTGGATGTATATCTTTTTCTTTACCTCTATAAACAAAGACAGGGCATTCCTTGTTTTTAGCTATGAATCTGGGGATTGTCTCTAAATGCTTTTAATTTGTAAATAACTGGAAGCCTTTGCTGGTCTCAGGAAGAATTCAAGATGTCCGTGTCTTGTGCTTTGGCCTTCTGGGAACTTAGGTACTTCAGGCCTTTTTGCTCTTCCGGCTTTGGCTGATGTGATTATCGGAAGCCGTGTCCAAACTCGTTCTGCTCCACCGTTTTGAATGATTGCATTGAAATTGGCTTGCTTTAACTAAATGAGCATCAAAGGATAGCATCTCTTGGGTTTGTTTGTTTGTTTTGGGGCACGTTCTCTCCAAGAAATTGGAAGTATATGCAGCACAGACTTAAGACTGAGTCATACCTGTCATGCAAGAATTGTCCAACAGTGTGAAATGGCAACTGGAGTCTTAAAAAAGGTCTCCGGTGAGTCCTAAGTACCCACTAACAGAGGAGGCTGCACGCTGTGTCTCTGTTGTTCCCTTCCCTCTTCTAATCAACCTCTGCTGGAGAACGTGCTAAAATTAGCACATTTGATGCAGTTGAACAAATGATCTCACCAAAGGCCACGCAATGATGTAATTTTGATCCTGTTCACCAGCCTTCTGTCTCCCACGTCGCTACTTCTTCTTTGCCCCATTTTAATTGCGTTCTAGTCTTCACTGTCCTTGACCTCATTTGCCCGGACTGTCATTTGCCCTCACTGCCCTTGGCCTAACTGCATGCCCTTGGGGTGTCCTATGTGATTTGTTTACAAGTGTCCCTGACACCTGACAACCTTACCCAAAGGCAAAGATGAAAGCTGGTTTATTTTTCCGCTCTGTTGGTGGTCATCTTGAATGTCTTTAGCTGTGAATAATTCAGCGCGTCATGCAGTTTAGCGTGAATAATTTTTTTTCCTGCCTCATACTTGGTATCTCAAAGGCCTGGAGGTAATGTTGGTTTGGCCCAAAGCAGAGACCACTTTTGCCTTGGCCTGGAGGGCCCGGGCTAGCCCCATCTTGTCAGATCTCAGAAGCTAAGCAGGGTCGGTCCTGACTAGTATTTGGAGGAGAGACCTCCAAGGAATACCAGGGTCATGATGCAGAGGTAGGCAATGGCAAGCCACCTCTGTTCATCTCTTGCCTTGAAAATCCTATAGGGTTGTCATAAGTTGGCTGTGACTGGACTGCCCGTCCCAACACCATGCCCCAAATTGCCCTGACCTGGATGGCCCAGACTAGCCTCATCTTGTCAGATCTCAGAAGTTAAGCAGGGTCGGCCCTGGTGAGTACTTGGATGGGAGACCACCAAGGAAGTCCAGGGTTGCTGCACAGAGGCAGGCAATGGCAAACCACCTCTGCTCCTCTCTTGCCTTGAAAACCCTACGGGGTTGCCATAAGTCAGTTGTGACTTGATGGAACTTCACCACCACAGGCCATTTTGAACTGAAATTCAGAGTTCCTCCTCTGGCAGAACATCTAAGGGATTTCAGCAGCCTTTCTCAGGAGGTTTCTGTGCATCCCGGTTCGTCGCCAACATTTCTCCCAAAGCAAAATTCAGAGCGAATTTGGCTGTTCCTCATTAGGTGGAAACATCTGAAAAAATGTGGGAGAAGTCGAGCGTTTCACTGAGAAGAATAGCTCAGGAAGGTTCTGCACCTTTCCAGTGGAAGTATTCAGTACTTCAATGACCAGGAATTAGAATGTGATGTGGGTGTCCTGAATGGATGCACTGGAAACTCCCTTCAGGTGTCTGGATTTAAAATACCTAGCTGCTTTTTCACATGGCTGCTCACTCACGTTCACACTGTATAATAGGTTCTGTAGTGTTAAGTCTGCATAAACCTTGACACATTCTCAAGCATGCCTGCCTTGAATTCCTTCAAATTTTCACATGAAAGTATTAAAGCATCCCAAAGATCGACACATTGAAAACTTGGAAAGATAATCCTAGCAATGACCATGCCTAGCTCGAATGGCATCACCCCCAGTATCAGCAAAAGCATTTAGCAAGAAACTCAGGGAAGGATTTTGAATTAGGCGTTATTGTAAACCAATGGGACTTCCAGTCCCCCCCCCCCAACCGATACAGCTTCTTTCACTTGTGCTAAATACAAATGCTGCAAAGATCTACGGCTTGGATCTTGTACCATTTTGTGCCATGCTGTTCTCGTTTGTGGAACTGGTCCTCGCTTGCAGAGTACAGTCCTGCAGCGAGAAGTATTTTCCCGCTCATGCAAGACCGGCCTCTATCTAAGAAGCAGAAAGCACCGAACGATGATGAAACATGCTCTGCAACAGAGAATGGCTTCTGCTATAAAGGACGGCACCATTCAAACCAAAGAAATATATGGGATCCAATGCATTTTGTTTGTTTGTTTCAGATGCCCAAACTGGTAATATCACTATCAGGATATTTGGTGACTATAGCTGAGTTTTGCCCAGGCATAGAAGCTTGATACTGAGTGCTGTCAATAAACCTCCCAAGAAGTATATTGCAAAAAAGGGAAACTTACATTGATTCAAGTAGATCCGGTTCACATCTAGGTTGCAGTAGAAAGGAGAGAGAGAAGCCTAATCAAAAAAAGAGTACTTTCCCTGTCACAGACGGCCAGCATGTCCAGCATCATGTTTGTGGGAGTTTGAGGGCATTGTCTCTACAGGAGAGACCTGGAAAGACATGTGTCACCATGGAAGGCCATGTAAGAGAGAGGGAGAGGACAAAGGGAGAGAGAGAGGAGGGGTCGGACTCAGAGGGAAGCACCCAGGTTAAGAAGAAGAAGAAGAGATTGGATTTATACCCCACTGTTCACTACCCGAAGGAATCTCAGAGCGGTTTACAATCTACTTTCCTTTCCAGTTTGGTGTAGTGGTTAAGTGCGTGGACTCTA